ATCGTCCTCGCAACTCCAGTGACGTCGGAAGCCCAAGAACCTCCACTTCACCACATGCCGCTTCACAACATGCAACAGGCTCCCCGAAAGTGGTGTCTCAGCAGCTTAAGGTGTCGCAGTGCCACAGAGTCAGCATGCCACACAGCTACAACCGCCGAGGAACGAGTCATAGGAAGTCACCGACATCAGCATCAAGCAGGAATAGAGCCGGTGATCTCTCGTCTGAGCAGCTCGGCTAGCAACATACTCACTCCCGGTGGGAGTGGGAGCGTTCTCAAGACATGCACGCAGACGGTTGGACTGCCTCCTGGCAATATTATCTTTGCTACGGTGGCAACGGTTTTTCCGAAAAGTAAAGAGTACATCTTAGCAAGGGCAACCCGAGACAGCCCCTATTGGAAATGTTGGAACGACAAGGGCAAGAGCACAGGGGGGCTGCGATCTGAAAAACCGGAAAGCTCGCCTTTGCTCTTGCCTTCGCTTCCTCTCCTGCACAGAATGTGATACGGTCACTGCAAACACCGCCTTCCGCCTGGCACCGCCTAGCCTGATCCGGGTTCTTCAGGAAGTTCCTTGCCTTACCACCCCAACATGAAGAGAGCTTCAGCCATTTGTCCTCTGGTTGCAAATCCAATGCATCAAAGGCTCCGAGATGTAAGCTTCACTGTTGCGGATGGCCATCATCTCTTTCCCGATCCTTACCAAAACAAAACTTCCAGCCGGGAGCTGCTCGGAATCTCTGAGACGCAGCCAAGCTTCGCAGAGCGCTCCTTCTTGTGCTTGGCTCCCACCAAGCTGTGCTCCTTCTTCTGCAGCTCCAGGAGCCTCGCCTGCGAGGCAGGTCGAGCCGCCACATGCTGCCACGCCACCGCAACCGCCGCCCCCGCGCCGCTTCCACGCTTCCGGTTGGCGCTTTCGGCCTCGGCCTCCTCCACGGCGCGTTGGGCCTCCTCGAGCTCCCGAGCCTGCGGGAGGGAGAAGCAAGCCACCTCCCCTCCGCTCGTGACCTCGCGGCCTCGCGAAGGCTCTCAAGTTTCGCCTGGGCCGCTCGGACTGGTGCTCCTTCCTGCACTGAGCAGCCGGTTCCGGCAGTTACAGAGTCACTCCGAACTTGCCCTCTGCCTCTGCAAGGCCGAGCTCCAAGCCAGCACTTAAAGCCTCAGCATCGCACGACTTTACATCGAAAGCCCTCTTTCGCGTCCCTCACTTGCCTTAGAGCCTTGGTGACTCCGCTGCTTCTCTGACCACCAGTCGAAGCAAGTCCCTCCCTTGCCGTTGCCCCGTGGCCACCGTCCAAAGGACCCTTCTTGCCGGCACAACCTCCCAGAATTTGCGGCTCGGCTCGATGCCCTGATCCTGAATGGTCGCTGGAGTTCTGAAGGCGAGAAGTATCACGTGCGTGCCATGAAGTGCCGAGGTCGGTTCCGTGATTCGAATTAGCAAGCGCTACGGCCACGAGCACGAGGTGAGCGTGGTAGCATGGAAAGTTATCAAACAAGATAGCTCCCACCGGATCACAGATGGGTCACCGAACAACGGTCCTCCGAATGAAACAAATTCTCGCACACATTACTCAGCTCAGGCAAGTGAGGTTCTGGCAGATTCAATTTTGCCCCAGTCTCCCTCTGCCACAGCAGCCTGCAGCAGCACAGAGGAAACCCTAAGCATGGCGGACGGAGCCGGAGCAAATTGAACCGCTGCAAGCCTGACACGAACAAAGTAATGTACCGCAAAAATGGAGCGTTACAAACATGGGCAAATGGAACCGGACAGATGGACCATAAAACTGAAGTGGCCCAGACGGGAAGTAATCTTGGCCATTGCAGACAGAGAGGGTGCCTCTATTGCTTCAGCGGCTACCCTTCGTCGTGCCGCCTCTGCTTCGGCCCGTGCCTCCTTGCATGACACGCACTTCATCGCAAAGCGAGATGCATGCGGAGAGCGCCTCCTCCAGCTCCAGGAGCAATGCCTTGGCTTTCTGCACCTCGGCATCCTCGGCATCCTTCGAGATTCGGAATCCCAAAGCTGTGGCTCTGAGCAGAGCCGAGCCTCAGAGAGAATGTCGGTGGAGGCGGAGAGCGCCTGGAAACAAAGGCTTTCCCAGATTCCACGGAGCAGGGGAGCTTTCAGCGTTCCTGCTTCAGCATTGCCAGGTCTCGCAGCTTCGCAGCCTGGGATCCCGGCATCGAAGAGCCCGAGCCTTCGGCTGAAAAGCTGGGCACCGGACCTCTGCGAGTCGCTGAAGAGCCTCTCGTCGCAGGCTGTCCTTTCAGGAGATATACATCCCCATATCCTGCAAGAGAGGGTGATGTCCTGCTGGATGAGGTCAGCAAGAACCTCTTCAGCTTCCTCACAAGCGTACACGAGAAGCGAGCGCCATGTTCGTCGAAGGAGCGCGTGAACATGGCTCCTGCGTCTGCTGCTCTGGAAGGTTCACCTCACATAGTCATAGTCACATAGCACATCGCACCACAGCTTCCCCGAAGTTTGAAGCACTTTAGCTGAATTCACCGGGTGCCCCGGCCCCGACGGCCCGTGCAAGCTCCAGGGCGGCTCGCAGACGGGGGATGTCTCGCGAGTTCTGTGCCAGGCAAAGCCTTGGCCGAGGGCGGGGTCTGCACGTCTGCACCCGGGCCCCCCCCCCCCCCCCGCCCCGCCCCACGACTCTGTGACTCTGTGCCGGCAAAAAGCTCGAGCTGCGCCATCTCCCGCCGCTTGGCCCGCGCCTCCATCTCGACGAGCCTGTCCTGGCCCAGTTGGACATCCGGGCCCATCGCTCCACTTCGCTCTCTTCAGCGCCTCCGCTGCCCGAAGGGCTTCGGGCCTCGGCATGCACAGGCTCTTTGCTGCATCGCTCGTCAGGCCCCAAACAGATTCCAAGGTGTGGACGACGCTTTCGTCCTCGGACGCACTTCCGCTTCTCTCGACTTCTCTCCCACAACTACCTGCGGCTGGGTAGCCTGGTGGAGGCAATGGCCTTTCTCAGCACAGCAGAATCTTCCGATTCGAAAGCCGCCTGGCGCCAGCGAAGGTTGAAGACGCGAGGTTTCGATCAGGTCCAGCTGCAGGATGATATTCGCGTCATAAACCGCATGGAAGATACTATCAGGCACCACGAAAATACATCTTAAGGTTGTCGCACATCTTGCTCTTTGCACTGTAGTGACGCATGACATCCAAGCCCCCGATGCAACAGGAAAGAGCGATTCAGAAAGAGTACAAGATGATGAAGGAGGCAAAGGCAAAGAAAGATAAGAGGAAGACCTCCCGGTCCCTGCCTGAAGCTGGAGCTCCGCAGCTTGGCGCTCTTCGGCCTGACAGCCCATGAACTGCCCTCGGCTCGGCACTTCGCGCCTGCCCTTCCGCCTGGAGCCTCCACCTCTGCAAGGTCTCCTCCGCTCCTGGAACAACCCGCTGCCCATCGCCGAATCGCTGTTTGAAGTGCCAGTGCCTTGAAGCGGGAGGCCCTGCTGGCGGCACAGGGCGATGGCTTCTTCCAAGAGCTGAAGATCCTGAAGGCGAGAGCTCCCACTTGAAGCCTCTGGTGAAGCCCGAGGCTCGAGATGGAGGGCTCGCCTCTTCCGCGAGGGCTCGTTCTCGCTTCGTGATGGCCTGCTACCGAACAAAGCAACGAGAAGAACTATGTGATCATGCTGACCGCCTCTTGCTTGAGCCTCTCCTTCTGTAACAGCTCCTACAACAGTGCAGCCGGGATAACGTCCGATTCACTCCACAATCATGCAGGCCGCCTCTTGAATGAGCCTCTCCTTCTCCAACAGTTCCTCCAACAACGCGGGCTGAATGACGTCCAATTTACTCCGAAATCGAAAGAGCGTTTTGTCCAGCTCGCCGCTGCGCACTGCGAGGCTTTGCTCAATGCGTTGGCACCGTCTCCGTTGCACAGACGTCATCTGTGTCCGGACCTCTACGTCTGCTACGTACGCAAGTGGCACAAGCTCAGACCTGCCCTTCAAGATCCTACAAGATTTCCCCTGCAGCCGGCCGTGCAAGAGCTCGCTGCGCTTTGGCGAAGTCGCGGCATCGAGCATGTGGACCAGGCGGCAAAGTCCGCCACTCCGCTCCATGGTTTGATCTCCGGGAACATCTACAGATCTCCAGGCCCGAGGGAACCTTCTGCGACGCGGTTCCGCAAGAGCACAAGTTCCGGTGGGAGGACCAAGGAGCATCAAGGAGCCCAAGGCATCACAGCGACCGGCGGTTTCCCAGAGTACCCTTGAAGGCCCGGCCTCGGCTCGGTGGAGACTGAAGAGAGTCACTTTTTGTTTTGTCTCTGCGGCTTCCGACAAGCCACGAAGAAGGGCCACAGCGCGCAGCCTCAAGTCCCGAACCACCAGTACCTCTGCACCGCGAGTTCCCGCAAGCAACGTCTGCGCACCGGCAGTCTTGCAGGCAGAAGACCGCGATGAGCGTTGCAGCGATCAATGCAAGCAGGCCTGCTCATCGGCTGCAAATGTCACACGCACGCGGCCGACACGGATTGCATTCCGCTCATACCGAGCGGTGCCTTTGATCCATAGATCTGAGACCTGCATGTCGAACGCTTGCAGCAGTCCAGAAGTGGAGCTACTGGTAGAGCGCATGTGCACTAACTTGAAGTCGCTTGCAGACTTATAAGCATCAATCGTGAATGCCAAACCGCATTGCGAACCTCGCTGCCCGACTTCGGCCTGTCAGGTTTGCAAGATGGTATGGTGTCGCCAGGCCGTACCCGCGCAGGCCCGCGCCTCGAGGGAGAGGTTTTGCCTTGCAGGTGCATCCTGGCGTCGGAAGTAGACGAAGTCCGACCGAGCATCCAGAGATCGGCGCGGCCCTGGGCACTGGCGGGCCTCAAGTCCTCGTAGGAAGCGAAGCCCGTCTCGCCCAGGAAGCGCTTCCAGCGAGCCTCGGCTTCCGAGGCGCGACCGCAGAAGCGCGCTTTGTCGACCGCTCCGGTTTTGCTCTGCCTCGAAGAGCTCCTCGATCTGCCGGGGGAGCTCCTCGTCGGACCCGACATGTCGCAAGTGGCTTCGGGAGAATGGACACAGATAGGAACGACCAACTCCCAGACGGTCCTGGGGCAGGCTCTCTGTCCAAATTTTTGGGATCCGGGGGAGCCGTCCAAATGCCTGGACCTCCTGTCGCGCACAACAGCCGGACGGCAGGACACAGCACAGCAAGCTCGTCCGGACCTCCTCAAAAGGCTTGAGGTGCTTCAGCACGAAGTGATCATCAAACTGCGAGATGTGCTCCTTTTAGAGAGCAGCGCATGTGCAAATTATGCCAAAAGCTGGGGCTCGCCTGCATGAACTTTCTGGTGGACTGGTTCTTGGCCACGCCCAGGGCATCATCAGAGACTCGGCCGTGCGGAGATATGAACGCCCCTATCCTTCGGTGCTGCGCTGCTGTGGGTCGGGGAAATATCTTCTGTCGGCAAGTGCTGCAAGAGTCCTGCGAATCTCGTGCGCCGTCTGCTCCACCAAGTCTTCGAAAGAAACAAAAAGCCTTCAGCCAGCCACAGGACATGGGCAGGCCATGGGCCTAGAGGTGCCGCTATGCGGGACGTGCGCCGTGAAGTAGCAACTGAGACCAGCACACCTTCTGGCTGCCTAAACAGCATGAAATCCACGACCTCTCGTCCGAGACGATGCACTGAGCATGAGCATGTTACGAGCGGAGGCCCGACACGAGCGGAAATCTGAGACCATGACCTCATGAACTTCCAAACCTCATTGCTGGACTCATGTCCGAAGATGCCCCCAGCGAAATTCTCCAAGGAGATCGCGCCCCGGGAAACACGAGCATAGTCAGTCCAGGAGCTGTTGCAGAAGCGGCGGTATCGAGTCAGAAAGATTTTCCGCGGATCACGAAACAGAACCACAAATTTGGCATCCTCTGGCAGCTTCTCATACAGCTGATGCGTCTTGAAGAGGCGCGGCTTGTAAGGCTGAAGTTCATCCAAGTTCTGGCCGCAGAGCTGCGCAGCATGAAACCAGGGCACAACTTCGTTGATGTCATTGAAAGACATGTCCCCTTTGGACCGTAGCCCATGGGCCACTTGGGTCAGCATGGTGATGCCACTACCCATGACGCCCACGAGAAACACGTCCGAAGGCAGGGGCTCGAAGGGAATCCTGTGCGACAATGATGTGCGACGCAAGCGTGCAGCTCAGCTACGAGTACAACTGTGCCGATTCTGCCAGGAAGCACGGGGGCAAATTTGTGAAAGACGTCGAGATTGAAGCGACGGAGCCGGTCCAGCGAGCCATCGTCCAGTGTGCCAAGGGCGGCAATCGACATGTTCTCGGCTTCAGTGGGGTGTGAGGCTTGCAGTGCAGCACGCAGGCACAGCATCACTCAGCCCCAGCACCGTATACCGTACACCCACAGTCCAGCCGCACTGAGCTTGTCCAGCTGATTGGGGCTCAGAAGTTTGGATCCCTGCCCTTGTTGGGCCACCTCGCGTTGCTGAATTGGCTGAATCATCGTGACCGGTGCCACATGTCAGGCTCTGGACTCTGGCAAGTCTTGGGCTGCTGCATGCAAGTAGAAGATTGCCGTGGACAGAAGCGCCAGGAAGGAGAACAGGACCAGGCGCAGGTTTCCATCGCCATCCTCCGTCGCAAAAAGACTCAAGGGCAGTCCCCGCTTCCTAGAACAAGCTTTCTCAGGTCGGGGGCCTGGATATCAGCCTCATGTCGCCAGTCGGCAAATCCCAAGCTCTCCTTGCATCTCCGGTATCACAGGACACCCAATTATGCAGTTCGCTTCGAAAGCCGGCCTCTTGCGCGTCACGTGGATCCTCTGTGGATCCCAGGGAGCGAGGCCGGATGCTCGCCATAATGCAAAGCCATGGGTCCGGGGCCGATGGAGCAAAGCTCTTGCTCAACTGAGCCCGCTCGGCGGGTGCGATCCGTGCGATGACAATTTCCCCAACAGCCAATGCGCACCGGAAGAAAGACACGATGGCGGGCCTGGACAAGGGAGGCTGCCTCTGTCATCAGTTCGGAGTCGTCTGGAAGACCGGCAGCTTTGGCTTCGCTCAGTGCCACCTACGAAGTGGGGAGTGAGTCCTTCCGTTCGACAGGCTTCCGTCGGCAGACCGACCTGCAGAGCTCCGACTTCCCCGCGACGCAGAGCAAACCTGGACTGCGGCCACTCTCTTCATCCCATGTTCTGCGGGCTTCTTAGGGTCATGCTGCAGCGCCATGCGAGATTCCTGCCGTTGCTGCTCTGCTATTTCCCAGTCCTTGCCATTCCGGCCCCAACACGGGGACTGTGGGGAAGACGATCGCAGGCGATCTGAGGGTCTGAGGTCTGAGGTCTCGGCATGCAAAGCAGCCTCGGCATCTCGAGCTGCCTCACGGCCGCCAGGCCTCAGAGCCACGGAAAGCAAAGCAGCGGGCACAGCACTGCAGGCCCTGCAGGCCCTGCAGGCCTAGGGCCTAGCAGGCCTAGAGGCTTAAGCCGAGATGTCCACACGTGCTCGAGCACTCCTTCTGCCTTGGCCTCCCGTCGCGAGGCGAGGCGAAAGGACCCGTCACCCTTGCAGAATAAGACCTCCTCCAAGGCTTTCTGCACTGCAGGTCCAAAGCTCTCGTCCTGGCTGAAAGTGCACGTGGCCCGCATGCCATGTTCTGGTCCGACTGTCTGCGAACTGCCACTGCTGTTGACTGCTGACTACGCATTCTGCTGTGTTCGGGTCCTTTGGAGCTTCGAGACTCGCTTGCAAGGCACACAGAGCACCGTGTCGACGCTGCGTGCGCCTCTGCCGATCAGGAGGCAAATTATGGCCAGATCAACGTCTCACCACCGTATAGGCTTGACCTGCTGCGCAGTCCGCTTGAACAGGCCTGCGAAGTGCGAGGTTCAGCTTCTCCTGCGCTTCCTTGCCCTCCTCCTAAGTCACAACATACATCCATGGGCATGCTCCGAGCCACGCACGCATCGGACATGGAAAATCTCGGCATCGCACCGGCGAAAGCCCCGCCTGAAGAAAAAGAAGTGTCATTCGCGAAATAAAGCACGCAAGATACAATCAGGTACAAACTGCAGACCTAGAACCGACATAACGACATCCCGACATTTGTCTTGTCTGTTCTGCCTGGCAGACTGCGGATTTATCGAAAGTTGCTGCCAACCCTGTACAGTGAGGGGGTTTCATGCGCACACACAGATCGTGGCAATGCACCCTGATGAATTGTCATATATTTTCGAGTCCGTCCAGAGGCTGTACCTGCCCAGGCCGGTCCATGAACTATCTCCTCTGCAGCTGGCCTTCTTGGCGGCGGCCAGTGCCGTGGCGAAGGCCTTTCAATAGAGAGCTGGGCAAGGGGAAGGTCTGCTTGTGTCAACATTGGACTGGCGCTCCGGGCGCCTGCGAGTCAGTGCGATCCAAGGCGTCTGCCTGCCCAAAACAGGAAGCGTGGAAGGCAGCAATCGGTGCCTTCAGCAAAGCTGCTGCAATAAATCCGAGTCGCGATGAGATCGCGACACTCCTTGAGTTTCCGCTCATGCTCCTGAGCTTTACATGGCATTCAAGGTAGGCGCTTTCAGAAGCTCTCGACATCTCGCCTCGCGCAGCTGCTCTTCCAGCCGTCGTTCTGCCTCTCGCCGAGCCTCCGCTGTCCACTCGCGCTTGGGGGCTTTTTTAACAGCGCCTTTCGCTGCCTTCTCGGCCTCTTTCTCCTCGGCGGCCTAGGTGGGCCAACGTGTGATGCGATGTGGAAGCTCCCTGCCTGCAACTGCCTCGCTGGCCGGCTTCTTCTGCCGCTTCCTTTCGCCTAAAAACGGCGTCTAAAAACCCTCGTGTCCTCGAAAATCCACGCTGGCCTTGGCTCTTCTTGGCAGACGGCACCTAGTCAGCGGGAGTGGAGTGGCCTGGAGTCTTCAAGGAACTGCGGTTTGTAAGTGCCGCGCCCACACAGCGACCTCCGTAGGCCTTTGCTTGAGGTAGTTGTCCTCTGCTTCCTGACATCTGCAGCTGAACCGTCCACGGAGCGCATCAGGAGTCAGACCTTTCGCTGTGTTGGGTTTGCCTTGAAGGGACTTCTGCTTGGTTCTGATATGTTATGCTTATCCTGTACCTGGAAAACACCTGAGGAGAGCTGGGCCGCGCATCGACTCAGATTGGCGGCCAGTGGAACGGAATCCAGGATCCCTCCTCCCCTCTGCAGACCGATGCATGCAGCAAACACAGACTGTTAAAATCCGAGAACATGCCTCAACAAACGAGCCAGAGGAACTTGGCCGCAAGACTTGTAGAAGCTCTGTGCCCTTGATACCTGCTCAGAAGCTCAGGCTGCAGGTGGTCCAGCGATCTTCTAATCTACCAGTTTCCTTGAGCACCGTACTGCACTCGTTTCTTTCGAACCCGCACGTGAGGATGATGCTGCGTCCTGGGACAGTGTGGGCAAGAGCAAAGCAGCTCTGAGGACAAGAGCAACTGTGGAGAATGGAAGGTGAGTGGTATCAAGCTTGCTTCTCCGCAACAGCGAAGTTCGTGCTGCGAACACACAAGCACCAAGGGCTGAGCATAGTAGCTCGTGCCTTCACTCGAGGATGTGAGATTTCATCTTTAGTTGACACTCATGGCTTCAAGGGCATGGACCGGGTGGAGCCGTCGAGGGTCCCGCTCCAGTGGCCGCATCTGCCTCAGTTTGAACTGCCTCACCAGGCTCGACATCAAAGGCCGTCGCGAGGCCCCCACGTTGGCTCCTGCAGCCTGCATGGGTGGATACGGCTGATTGGGGACTGATCTGTGTGCATGGTTGAGGGTGCAGGTTGCGGCCTCGCTGGCTCGGACCTTCTCCAATGCCTCCGCAGCTCTGTTCTGCAGGCGCTTCTCCTGCAGAAAGCTGCGACTGCATCCCGACCTGCCTTTCTAATTCTCCCGGCCTGCAAAGGCTTCAAAGCCAGTGCCTGCGCCAGGTCCTCGATGCTCTCGATGACCTCCCAAGGACATGGGCCCAACATCTGCAAGAAACCGGGAAGGATGGTGCAACGCCTCCTCAAGCGAAGCTGCCCCCATCTCCTCACACCAGGCGAGCACCGCCTCCCACAGAGGCGCAAAGGCACGGACACTGGAGGTCTCCCTAAGAGCGCCCTGCTGCCCTGGCCTGCTTTTGGTCTGCGAGGTTTAAGTGGCTCAGCCAGAGAGCCACGTCTGTCCCCAAGCTCTCAGCCTCCTGCTCCTGCAAAGCCGGGGACTCGCGCAGTGAGACGTAGCTGACCCGCTGCTCCTCGTCGGTCGGGTCCACGGGCTCCTGCGGCTCCTGGACCTCCTCTCCTCCGCCGTCGCCGTCGCAGGGGGCTTCTTGAGTGGCCTTCGACATAGCTGCAAGAGTGACGAGACGCATCACCAAGTGAAGGGGCCTCTATTCGAGTTGGACTTTCGGCCACACTGTAGGCTTCAGTGGGGCCTGCGTGTCCAAAATTCTGACGAAGCAGTTTGCCGAGGCTTGCGGTGCCTGGCCTGCAGTGGTGTCCGTGCCTTGGCATGTGCAGCACGCTTTCTCAGCGCACTCCGCGGCCCATCCAGGCCGGCACCCCAGTCATCGATGTACTCGTTCACGAGCTCTGGCTCCGCCTCATGCGCTGGTGCCTGCCAATCATCCTGCAGGTGGCAGTGGCGCATCTGAAGATCTGCGGGACGGTCCAGAACGAGTGTGCCTCGTCCGCGTCAGCTGCGGGTGCAGCACTCCACAAATTCTCCACAGCAGAACTGGGCGGACCTGGGGCCGAACACCGATTTCTTTTGGTGCAGACTCCGTTATGTTTATTTATGTTTTGTGTTTTTGTGCACATGCGCACTCCAGACGTCCAACTTTTCTCACAGCTCTCTCCAAGGCCGTATTTGGCCGTACTGGCGGTGCTTTGCCCAACCCTTTCTCTCGATTCCCTTCGGGGCTGCCGTGCCGTCTGGGCTACAGACAGCTTCAACTGGCGCCACGGCTCAACTGATCCTGTATCTGACGCAGGGAGACCAGACCCTCCACATGTGGCTAGAGGTCTCTGCTTTCCGCTGCCTCCCAAGCTTTCAGCTCCCTTTCCGCCATTGGCAAACGACTAGTACTACGCCGCAACCATCGAGACATCTCCTCCAGACTTAAGCGCTCTATTGTAATGGAGTTTGCCCAGAGATGTTCCGCAAGATCCACCCACGCCTCAAGCTGCAGGTCTGGAAATGTACCAAGCAATTCCTCTACCGCTCGCCCTAAACCAACTCCAACTTTGCGGCAGGCTGTGCTGTTAAGGACCTGAGCAATAAGGTCCATCTGCAGTGAGTCCAGATCTTTCAGGCGAAACGTGTACAGGGCATGGCGGCTTGCAAGGTGAAGGGAACACGCTCCGCATGCATCCGAGTCCACTGAAATGCCAAAGCATCGCTCGCACTGAAAGTGCACCAATTCATCCCCAGAGAGCCTCTGCTGCTCGGGGATGAGGAGTCTTCTCCTTTCAACCCCCGGGCAGGCGAAGTGTCTCGTGGGCCGAGATTGCCACAGGAACACAACCCACCATGGGCCGAAACAGAGCAGAGGTTTGATAAGAATGGAGGCCGGTCTGTGAGAAAGCATCGAGCTTTGACGAAACATACAGATCATGGGTGTGGGTCGAAGAGGACAAGCTGTTGCCAAAGGAACTGTTTATCCATACAGATACCGAGGAATAGACCTTTGGCCCATGCAGAAGGCCCCGCAGATGGACCTGATTCAAAGCAAATCACGGCTTGTGGGCCACCTCACCAAGCTGAAGATCTGCATCTCCTTTGTCGTGCTCACTTAGGCTGAGGCGCGCTGTCCTACTGGTGGCATCTGCTTCCTTGCGCCGGCACAGATCCGACGTCAGAGCTTGGAGACAAAAAAGCGGAAGCCCGTCCTCTGCTGGCAGGGACGGACTGCTACGAGAAGCTCCTGAGCGACACGGGCCAGTTCGTCTTGCACATTCTTGCACCGTTGCACATGTCGTGCTTTGTCGCGCCTTTGGACCACGCTGAATGTCTTGTGCTTCCAACAGCGCTGGCACTCGCGGTTTGCCTTTGCGAGGGCTGTCCACGGAAAGATTCCGCGACCCCTTCGCCCTAAAAAGTCTTCAGCTACGCTGAGAGATGCTGAGAGGCTCGTGGAAGTGCTGTAAGCTCATCGGCGTGGCGCGCTTTGCACCTTTCAGACTGCAGCGCACAATGACGGCACTTCTGTACGAATCACACCATGCCTCGTCCTTTCCCTCTCCCGCGGTTCGCACCGGCCTCAAAAAAGTAGGCAAAAGAAGCACAAAAGCAGAAGCTTCCATACATCCACACACTCCAAGGATATGCCAGTGATTGCCAGTGGCTCTCCCCAGGCTCCCAGCATCGCTCGTGGCCTCAGCAATGACCCAGTGAACCCTTGGGGCCCAAGGCGGCCCTTGAGCGCCAGCAGGGCCTAGCCTTCTGGAGTAATCGCAAGGACATAGCCACAAGGCCTCGCCGGTACTGCCTAGTCATCACTAAACCCGCACTGATGCATCTCTTCGCCTGTGGGGCGAGACAGTGGGCGCCGAGAGCTCTCCACGCTAAAGCTGCACGACGTGCATCGCAATCTAGGGATCACTGTGAGGGAGTGTAGCAACTGTCGGTGACCTGCGTAAGCGTTGAGGCTTGTATGCCCCAAATGGATCTTGTGTAGGTTTGAGTGCGTTTAGGACCACAAGGCATGAGCCTGAGAGCCACCAGTGATTCGGCGTGAAGGGAGCCTCCGAGCTTGGGGCACAGGGTTCGAGATCTAATCAAGCGCAACAAATCAGAAATCAGAACATCTGTAGCTCTGTCCAGGTCCGGGTCCATGCTTATTCCAAAGGCTGTCCCTGCTCAGTCGCCCTACGGACAAACCAACTGTCCTATTGGCATGTATTGGCATGTCCGAGATGTCTCAGCTGTGGTGGGTCCGCGGTTTCGGTGGTAGTGCACATAAACTGAGACTTTGGAGTGGGAAACCACATGTCAACAGCAGCACTTCTCGACGGAGTAATCGTTGGGCTTGCCTCATCATCAAGCCCGGCACGCAAAACACCAGCTCCTCGTCTCTGCCCGGTCAAATCGCATTCAAGGCGGTTCCTCTCGGATAGTCTCTTTGTACAGTCATACGCAGACCTTGTGGCGTTGAGGTTCAAGCCAACCACCACAGCTCCTTGTCGTTGCTCTTTCCTGGCTCTCCGTTGCTCCGCGCTGCAGACGTGTCTCGGCCTTGCTTGACGCAGCTCCAGCTCCGCAGTGCAGTGTTGCTCGCTGAATTCGGAAGTCGAAGGCCGCTCCAGCGAAGCCAGCAGGTTGAGCTCTTGGCGCCTCCGCGATTTTCCAACAAGGACCTTCTCCTGGAGTTGGGGCCGGGGCCAGTGGAAACCGAGAGTCTGAGTGACAGGTTCGGCTCTGCCTCTCTCGCTAACAGCCGCGCAGCTCGTGGATTCTCGTCGAGGCGCAGCCGGGGCGCGCGGCGCCCCGCTTGGAAGATCAGGACTTGAGTCCGATCACGAAGGAATTGCGAGAAGTCTGCATGTCATCGTCTTGGAAGAGCTCGCGCCCTGCGACAGCCACTGGCAATGTCTTTCTTTCAATGCAGCGGGGGAGCTTAGCTAAGCTCCCAACTGCAGCTCGCAGGCACCTCCTCACACACAGCGCGGGCAACCGACTCTTCCAAATGCTCATCAGCGGGCAAAATGTGATCGCACCAGGGCTGGGAAGTGCGGCTGATTGCACGTTTGTTCTCTCTTTGCCCCCCTGATTTCATCCCGGCCCTCTCTCAAGCTGAAGCTCACCCGAGGCACCGGAGCCTCGATGAGCAGCTTCAGGCACCAGTAAACATACGGATCTATTCCCAATCTCTTCGCGCGCTGCTTGATGCCTGGCGATCATATGTTCTGCTAACATGAGCTTCAGACTTCAGACGACTCGATCACGGGAAAGCCTGGCAACCGCTTGTCCAAGCAGCATGGCGCCAGGACAAGGGCAGCAGGCCTAGGAACCTGCCATTGTCTATATACAGAATTACAGAACCTCTTTCGATTCCGCATCCTCTGAATTTGCCTGCCGGAAGAGTCTCGCAGCATGGATGGACAGCATGCCGCAAAGGTGGACACCAACGAGCAGCACCAGCCTGCAACCACAAGCAGTCCTCACTACTTCGGACGTAGTGCTAGGAGTCCAGCCCGTCTTGCGGTCGTGATGTGAGCATGTCAACCTTGGCAAACTGAGTAAGATGCCACGTGAAGCCAGATGTAACATCGATCCCTCTTCCTGTCCTCTGTGATGCTGAGCTCTGCACCAGTTCACCGGTCGTGGAGGCCGATTCCTCAGATCACTCATCCAGACTCACAAAATACTCCGAAGTCTGTGCCCTTCCACAGGTCTTTTCCGGGGCCAACTCCAAGTTCATCTCTCTGAAGGAGAGGTTGGGACAAAGTCCGAAGTGCGCCAGGTCCTTGCCCACAACAGCTCAGGATACTGCTCGTCTGTCAGGGGTCATCACAGCGGTCCATGTTCGGATTCAGATCCACCGCGATGACTTGCGAATCGGGAAAAGAGCATGCCAGAACCTGAGCGAAAGCTGCTTTTGTGAGCAAAAGGCCGAAAGAAAGAAGAACATGCTGTGATTTGAAGATCACCGCATGGCTCACCTCACTGTCAGCGCCCTTAATTAGATTCTAGGTCTAGGTGAATTGGTGGCATCGACTTTCACACCTTTGCCGATCCGATCCTGGAGCGGTCTCCTTGACTCGTCTCCACATGCACAATCACCACCTTGTACTGCCTCACGTTTACCTCATCTCCGAAGAGAGTGGTAGGGGCAGCCGAAGGAACAAAAAGGAGTTCTCATGATGCTCATGATGCTGGCTCCATGATAGGGTTAATGTACAAGATTGATGCTTCTGATACTGCTAACACGACGCGAATGATCCTCATGATGCCGCCAGGCTGTGGCAAAGTGTGGCCACAAGAGCACGCTCGGCCGCCCCCCCCGCGTGCGCACGTGCGCGAGCTCAAGACGTATGTAGGAAGCAGGAGCTGTCAGAAAGCGCAGGGACCTGAGAGAGAAATCCTGGTAGCACCGATCAAGGCTGGCGCAGTGGCAAAAGGGCAGCTGATGAAGTTTGAACATCCAGATGATGAGGTTGGTCTTTTGTGAATCTGGCTGCTCAAAGCACGTGGAGATCTCGAACCCCAAATGGGATTGGGTGGAAAGAACAACCTCACAGACGAATAATCAGGATGAACCAGGGACATCCAGTCTCAATCTACGGCTTGGTATGCCGCATGCCTTGAACTGAGGACAGCACCAGACTTCCGAAACCTTTGCCAGAACACAAATCCACGATGGTCACTGGGCGACCTGTTGGGAAGCCCGTCGCGAGTTTCACCACAAGTCCGTGCTTTGCGGCCTTTGCTTCCATCGTCCTGCACGGGCGCTGAAATGGGAGCCGGGTTACTTCCAGACGTCGAAAACAGTCAAGTGCCTCCTTCCCTGCGTGCTTGCTCAAGGCACGTTCGCATGCGTGGAGCAGGCCGATGGCCTCGCAATGCTTGGAGGACAGGCTTGCTGATTAAGCGGCTTTCTGTCCAAATAACGCTTCAGGCATGCCAGGATTGGCACTTATTCACTTGCGGCCAGAACATGTGTCCGTGTTGAGAGCAAATTTCAAGGACCACTATCACCATCGCCACTACTAATCACACCACCACTAGATTCACTAAATTCACTAAATGGTCATGGTTCATGCTGGTGAAGATGATGATGATGCTGCTGATGATGATGATGATGACGATGACGATGATGATGATGATGATGATGATGATAGGGCAAAACAGCACGAGACATGCAAGGAGAAGTTCAAATGCTAAACCCTTATCTGACAAGTTGCGCCACGAACGAAGTGCTGAATATCTACCAATCTAAGGGGAAACTCGAAAACGATCATGGGCAGGAAAGCCTCAGACATCCTCAGACTCTAAGAAGAGACTCCCAAATCCTCAAAGGGGCGCATGATGGGCTGCAAAGCCGAAGGGAGTACTCGGCACCATACCGTTTAGTTTCTTGTGACAGATCGAGCGATCAACCGAAAGGCTGGAAAGGAGTAATAGCTGCACGAAATTTAACTGGACCCCAGCAAGAAACACCAAAGAGCAGGAGGATACCCCAGGCCTGCTATAGGCAATGATGAGTTCTGATTGGGAAACTGCGAACCCCTACATACCTTGCACCCTGAACACAAGGCCTGGGTCTTGATTCGCCCAAGAAGCTTTTAAGGGGACCGTCGACCACGACAGTAACGGTGGCCTCTGTGAGCTCCTTGCGGAGCCTCTTGCCCTGGACGTGGAAGAGCTTCTGACAGAAGGGCCTCCGCTACGCTCCGCTACGAGCTTCAGACATGGCGGGGCTGAGGCCGCTCAGGCCCGGCGAGTCCATGAGCCGCTGGAGCCAGGGCATCGCCGCGAACTGCCGAGAAACTGAGAGCCGGCCTACGGTTCTCAGGTCGCCGCCAGAGCCCTGGCCTTCTTCAGGTACGGATGCGAGCGCACGGACCTACAGCGAAAAACACTGCGAGGTACGAGTAAACCTACTGTAGCAGACGGCCGCATTTTGCTCCATCCGGGCACCCTGCTCACCCCCCAACAAGAAGCGTAGGCTGGCCGGCACGCTTGGCCTACCCTGTCTGCAACTTCAGCAAGGTTCCAGCAAGGCTCTGCTGACTTTACAGTACTTGCTCCAGCCTGAGGCGGAGGTGGAACATCGCAGGGCCTGCATCGGAGCAAACGGAAGAACTGGCTGTGCTGGACTGAGCGAATGGCCTGATGCTAGCAGAGGATCTTGAAATCGTCGCCTGCTTCGCCTGTGCCCTCTCTTCCAAGGCCGCCTGCCTGTCATGAGAGCTGAGTGATGCAAATCCCCCCAAAAGAACCAAAGGAAGCGAGCAGCTAGATGCAGCTAGCAGCCACGAAACGCCAACGCACTTTCCACGATCACAGGCAGTGGCATCCTGGCCTCGCAGACTCATCATGAAGGAAGCGGCAGTTGGCGTAGCCGCAACGCCCCTTGTAGGTGAAGTTACTGCACCTCAAGGAACTTCCTCTCCAAGATCGAAGCGTGTAAAAGCTCCGGAGAATCTGGGCTCGTTGCTGCCTCGCGGCATTTGCCTGCGCTAAGAACAGCAGAGGACATCCACGAGTGTTTTCAAGGCACCGGCCTGTACCTGCACATCTTCGACCGCGGCAGACATGCGCGAAAAACTCTGTCAGTGTAGAGCAAAGCTGGCTCTTGCACCGAAACAGCACACAAAGCGAGCAGTAGGAAGCTCCAGGGCGGCCATGCACTGCCACAGGAAGCTAGCTGTGACTCAGCGTCTTCACCAACCGAATCACTCCAGTGCAGCGTCAAGCGAAGCGCGACACTCGCAACTGCGTCGTGGTTGCACTGGGATCTCCGGGGCTTGGGTCACCTGAAAGATGTGTGGGACAACTGGTGTGCAACCGCGATTCGGCCCATGTTCTGAGCTGACGCGCTCTGTGGCGTTGAGGCAGCAGCTTGCCAGCAGCTGCCTAGGCGGACAGTCCTGGACTCCGCATTTCTGCGACAAGTACAATGACTAGATGTCCATGTATCGGGACATTCTTCTGCACAGGCCGAGTGGGTTTTGATACTTTCACTGCACCATGTTCACTGAGCCGAGTGACACGCAGAGTTCTGCGCGTCACTCAAAGCTCGATCCAGCTGCAGCGCTGCCAACACGAGTACAGTTGGAATGTGTCCTACCTGTTCGCGTTTACAAGATGTTCCTGTTCACTCTTCCGTTGGTAGCTCGATGCAGCTCGCGTATCCTCCCATTACAGCCCGAAACTCAGCATTGCCGCTTTTCGTGTGGCCTTGGCATACGGCACGAGCTTCGCTTTGCTTCACTTACATGCTTGCGGTGCGTTTGCAGGCATGAGGTAAAAAAACTCTGTCTCAGGGCCGCGACTTCATTCAGCCTGCACAAGGCAAGACAAGGGATCGCAGGCTGCAGGAAAGACTAGGAGCATTACCAAGTTGCAGTCGCAGGGCAGCTCGCTGCAAGCTTTTCTCCGCTTCAGTGCCCCACTACATCAAAGGAAACGGTTCAGAAATTGACTCTGCACTTTGCAAACTTTGCACTGCATCCTGCTGCCAACAGCCAGCGTACCCCATGCGTCCAGCATTTAGATCCAGGCACGCTGGCGGATCTTCACTGCAATGTAGTCCAGCGCCATCCCGTCGTCTGCATAGGCAGCATGCAGGGCTTCCAGTTCTGCCTGGATGAGGCACCGCTGAATACTCCCTACAAGCAAAGTACACTCTGGAGAAGCACCCTGCCTTGCATGTCATGGACTGCACCTGCTCGGCCAGCTCACGGACACCTTGCACATCTGCCCTCCTCAACAGAGACTGCTGCAAAGCCCTGTCGCGCTTCGATAACGGAAGGCATGCCCCTGATGGCAGCTTGCTCACATCTGGCTCGTGCATCCCCAACCAGCGCAGATGACTGCAGCTTCTGTGGTAGACCAAATAAATTGCCACACCATCGGGGTCAAAGTCGCCCAAGTACACCTGCGTCAACCGAGGAGCCACCCTGTGGAGTTTCTGGAGGAATCGCCTCGTCAGAACATCCGGGTAGCCCCTTCCAGTCACAAGGATCAGTGGCAGAATTGTGAAAAGCTTGCTCTGCAATAGGTGCTGAAAGACGGTGTCTTTCTCAACAACCAGCACAATCTGTGCACGCTCGCCAACATGAAAGCGGGTTCGGTGGTCCAGCATTGACTCTCCGATGCATGTTCCGGTCGCTCCCTGTGCCGCCACGGAAAGACAGCTGTCATGGCTGAACGAAATTTCACCAGCCAAGAGACCCTTTTCAGTCGTAAGGACACCCAAATGGGACCGACCTATTCTCAGCGCGCCGACTGCATCGCGCATTGCTCGGTCCATGATCTGCTGAGAGCTGAACAATCCACCACCTTCTGACACAACTCGGTAGAAGAGCTCACGCTGAGTAGCTGTTCGACCAACCTCGGGTATTGCACCAACTGTGATCGTGATGTAAGCTGTGGTGTCAAGCATTGGCCTAGTGAGCAGTGGATTGCCAGAGCAGAGCAGTGCAAGTCAGTGCAAGTTGTTCGGACTTCAGTCGCCTCGTGCGGATTCGAACCCTGCTCTCGGAACTCAGAGACTCAGATCTGAAAAAATGGGACCTCAAACTTAGCTTGAGGTACAGGTGGATGCGAGAACTCGAGGCTCGTTTTGGGCGGCTTCGTTGGACGATGCAAAAAAATATCGTGCCGCTAATTCTCAGCACTGGCAGTCATGGGTGAGTAATGCTTGTATAGTCCTCCATTGATGGAGCTGCTCTACTCGAGAGACACAAGGGAACAAGCTGAGCCGCGCACTTTGTTCAGCCTGTGCACATTGTCCAGGGCGGCAAAGAGGCGGGCTATCCGTCGAAAGTTGCGAGACACCAAGGCCAATCGGTGCTGGCGATCAATGGCCGTGTTGAAGTCACCATCCTCCTACAGCTAAATACATGCAGCACAGTGCAGAGGCACATGACACCGTGTCGGACACGCAACAGGCCTGGATCAAAGAATGGCATGGCTCTGTCAGCAGGATTGCTGCAGGCAGACGTGTGCCGGGCTTGAACTGGCGCCCTGCCTGAAAGACTTCATAATCAGGGACAGACACTTCACAAACACAGAGCATCTCCAAAATCCTCAGGTCCACAGGTGGTTGCCTTGTGGCATTCCTCCTCGGCATTTGCATTCGCAACTACGTCAAAGACTGCCCGCAGCACGTTGTGTGTAAGCCTGTTCAGGGTGATACCGACAATGCCCGCAAGGAAGCAGCGGAGGCAACATCAGTCTTGGACTGATCCAGGCCTCTCCACGGCCAGGACGATACCACTGTGGTCCAAGCCACGCATGTGCCCATCGCTTGGCTCTACTCCTTGCCCAGCGTCCCCGGCTCCGACCATGGCTTGGTCTTCGCCTGGCGGCCTGGCTCTTGCCTTCTAGCCCTGGCCCTGTTAAGCCGCCAAGCTTGAGCCGGCATGCGACCCGGGCTTTCCAGACTTGCAACTGCCTAAGCAATGCAGCTGGCGGCTGGTGGGCCTTGATCCTGGAGTAGATGTAGATCACGAAGAAGTAGGAGCAGTAAAAGGAGACCTGCCATGGAGGCACAGGATCTTTGAAAGCCTCCCCGTGCCCGGCTGGGTCCCGAGCACAGCCCAGCATCAGTGCGATGCCGTGAGCTGCGAGCAGTGAGTACAGAAAGAAAAACGAACACCTCAAGAGCCACGGTGAAGTGCCAGTTGGGTACTGGACTGCAAAAAGCGAGCACCGCACTGAAGGAAACCATTCATCCCTGTCTGCAGGAAGAAGTATATGCAGTACCTCGCCAACAGCATTGGAATGCAATCGGCGCAGCATGTTCCAACACACACTTCACATGCTGAAAGCAACCGAGGCGCAGGTAGAAGAATGCCGAAACTGCCACACCGGAACCTTTGCAGAGTTCGCGGATGGGTTCACGTGCATGCGGTTCAGGCGGAAGGAACAAACACACAGGCAAAGGCTCTGTCTCTCTGTCTCAGGGAATGGCCAAACGATCTCCACCACCAACGATGGTCCTGGGCAGCTCCAGACAACGATGCTGGATTATCTCCATGCTCTCGATGCCAGGAACCCAGACCTCCGCATTGAGGTGGAAATACGTGAAAAGCACCGTCACCTCAATCCAAACGGCCCTTTGTGCAGACTTTCCCACAGCAAGAATGCATGCAATCTTGTAGTCCATTTCTAAGGGCCGCGCTGTGCCGGCAACTAGTAAGAGCATTGTGAAGGCCAATAGCAATATCCCTCGGTGGGCAATTGAAGATTGCTCCAGTGCTTCAACACCGATTGTCTTGAGTGACGCGGGCAGCACCAAGGTGCAACGTGAGGCTCGTGCCGTAGAGGAAGTATATCCGAGGGCCCCAAACCTGTTGGCGAAGATAAATGCAGAGCAGCCACATAGGGGAATTCACTTCTTGGCGTTACTTGCTTGTGTTCTAAAGTAAACAAGTGAGCTACAGACAGAGTTGAAGATGTAGTGCAGCTCAATGTAGATGGCACCTTGGACCCAGGGGCAAGGAGCATCTCGTTGCATTGACAGCTCATGAGGCAACGGTGCCCTTCGATGGGATAAGGGCGCTGCTGAAGGGCAGGAACCCAGATGCAAAGAACTGGGTCACGGGACTCTGGTACCTAGGACATGGGACGGCCTGCCTCAGACAGGCGCAAGGCAGACGGCGCACCAGCGGCACGACGGAATCTCCCGCGCTAGCTTGTTCGTTTTGCACGGGAAAGGACTTCCCTCAGCCTGAACAGCATGGCCAAATTGCAGACACCTATGGCAGCGACGATCCCACTCGAGCTTTCTGTGATTGAGGGGCATGGGAGGAAGAGCCTTTCATCGGCCTAAACATACCGGTGGCCATTCGTGATCCACTGCACGCATGTTAGAAACTACAGCCTGCAAGCATGCAGTCTTGTAGAAGCAGGAGCGTTCCGCTCTCAACGGCCCCGAATTTACCCGTTGCCGCGCCGACACCGAAGATCCATACGCAATCAGATTTGTGCGGAGGCTGACACCTGCGCCTGCTTCAGGGATCGATGCCGCCCTCCAGTGGAGCAAAGCACTCGCAAGACTCTCTGCGGCTTCACCACTCAGCGGATTCCGCAAGTCTCTGGGTCTCTGGCCGATGATCCCACCAAGGACCGTCAGTGGGAATGTAACACATGCCCACATTGCGAACATCAGCAATCTGCGCAAGGCGAGAATGCGATTGGCAGGCCCCTTGAATCCCCGAACTGCGCACATGGTCGGGAACGGGAAGGCAGCGGTGGAGCCATAGAAGATGGCAACCGTGTTCAGAAAGGACCTGCAGCTGTTGGCGATGTTGCAGAACCACAGCCAAAATTGGCAGAAACCAAGTTATGCAGCTTTCTTGATGTTCCAGGCCCTCCAGGCCCTCGGCCAAATCAAGAAGGCGGGTCCCATGAAGCAGAGGGCTGTCATGAAGATGTTCCTTTCAGGGGCTTCTGTCTGCCGTGTTCAGCGAGGCGAAGATTTTGACACCCCTTTTCTGCACCCGTCTGAACCCGGGCAGTCCAGGCCCACTTCTCACCCCCGAGCTTCTGGTACAGGTTGGCACTCACAAATCCGCCTAGAAGAGCTGTGACCTGGTCAGGCTCAGATGCAACTTGGCTCTTCCCCGACATGTTGATAAGGCTACGGCCATGTAGGAGATCACCGCGGCAGAGGCAACCGCTCCACGCTGGTAGTAGGCTCCGATGCAACCAACGAGCACGACCATGATCATCATACTGAACGGGAAATTGAAGTCAGGTCTGACGCCACATCCTCTCAAAGCAGTCTGGGAGCCTGGTCATCTGCGCACCGGCGCCTATCGCCTTGCAGTCTTGCAGTGAAGAGCTACGTTGACTACCAGCACATGGCATATATGGCATCACACTGCACGACAAATTGCAGAGACTGCAGATGCCGAGCTGCGGAGCAGAAGAAGAGCCTATGCTTGGGAGCGCGGAAGACATCCGCGTGCAGCAGCTTCCAGCCTGGTGCAAAGCCACGGGCCGAGCCGCTCGGCATTTTCAAAAAATTTTCAGAAAGGCAGTAAACGCCCACCCGGGCCTGTCTCCTCTTCCACGGCATTGAGCTCTTCGTCTGGAATTTGGAGATATCTCGACAGATCCTGGGCCGGGATTTCTCGAAAATCTGCGATTCGGCCCGAGCAGTCGCTCGCAAATGGGTATCCGTGCTGACCGCACCACGCGGATGATGATCAGAAGAAACAGCGACCTTCGCATTCCACGGCTTAGACATTGCACTCGGCGACTGTAACGGCTGAAGTCTGAGAGGGCAGCAAGATGAGCAACATCAGCACGAAGGAGTTGATGATTGCGAGCCAGTGAATGTCCATGTTCTGGTGCCTTGGAATGCAAACTCCACACTCTAACAAAAGAGCCGACTTGCTCTGCTGGGTCTTTGCCCGCGCGGTCTTCGGCGGAGCCGGCATTCCCAAACTTCACGTTCACGGCATTCTCCCTTCTACCTATCAATTCCCTGCCCGCAGTCTCCAAGGGATCTGCATTCCAAGCTTGCTGCTGGATTGTGCCGCCTTGTCCGTTGTGGTTTGACATCCCTCGTCTTGTTGAGTTGAGCAATCACGTCGTCTGGTTCCTCGTCTGCGGGTTGGGTTATGGTTGTGTTTCAGGCAAACCCTGGCGTTGCTTCTGACTTTCGATGTCTCGTCCGCCACCGCCGTGCTCTTCCGTTGCGCAGTCTGCAAAGGCTGTCGCCCAAAGATATCCTAAGTCCCTTGAGTTCGGCTTCGATCACTGGCTGCTGAGCAGGAGATGTGTTCAATCTACCTCCCGCCGGATCCCTGCGCAAACAAGCAGAGAAGTCTCCCCAGCCGTGCTCGTCCTCAGAGCTACTCAGGCCGAGCGGCCCATGCGGCATCGTGGACTTCAGCTGCAGCTCCAAAGCTTGGGAGGGAAGGATGTGCGGCCTCGGGAGCACCCCGGTCCAGAGGGCACAGCCGGCAAAGCACGGGAAACGGTATCAGAGCATTTTCTGTTCTAGGCATCGCGACAGGGGTGTCCACTGTACCGAGTACGAGAACTGGATCACCTGCAGCATTGGCTGCTACTTGGACGCCTTTTGGCAAGTTTCTGGAGCTGTACCATTCCCTCTTTCCACTCGGTGATGTCGACCAGGTGCTCTAGGTTGAGCCTGAAAGTTCGAGGGGTTTCAAATCTACGACGTGCTTCGCCGCGAACCCAAGCTGTCAAACGCAACGCAGCGTCTCGGCCCCCACACTCCCTGGTCACATTTGCGGACACCACCTCATCTAGAAGGCGCTGGATCATCTAACTCGCTCAGAAACAGGCGGATCCTCAAGGACGGTCTGCTGTCAGAAATGCGGAAGGCCTCCTTTTCGTTGTAGCCGATAATGAAGTCGAGGTAATTAACAAGGAAATACCTGGCATTCCCGAAGTCAGTTTACCATGCTTCACCGGTTTCGATCGAGCCATCAGTCGTCTGTCGTGCTAGGCCTGTCAGTGACCTGCTCATCCTTTTCGTTCCCCATTGTCGACACAACGCCGAATGGTCTGTCCTGAGACGGCACCGTACTTGCCAATGCAGGAACAAATCAGCAATCCGCAAGCATCTTGGCACGGATCAATCGGCAGCTCACCAACGAAAAGCTCGAACATGTAGTTCTGATCTATGGCTTCCTGGCACGTGAGCAGAATCTAGCACATGTCCGGTCGCAGGGCTTCCGACGAAGCCAGGTTCAAAAGAGCCAGTAGGGCTTTGAGCATACGAATATCCGCCTCACTCATTCTCCTGCGAACGAGCACGTGAAAGATTGCCAGCTTCTTTTTGATGCGTAGGAGTGCTGGCTGCCCCTGCCCGTCCTTGAGCAAATCACCGTCCTTGGGACTTGTCGCTTCATATGCATTGGGTACAGCGAATTCACCTTGGCACAGGCGGTGTGCAACCAGGTCTTTGCTTTGCTTGGAGAAAGGAGCCCGGCTAATCGATCTCCACGCAAGACCTCGTGAAGAACAGCTGTGGAGTTGCACAGATCTTGCACATTCGGAAGAGAAGAACAGCCGGAAGAGAGGGGGCCCGTCCTGACCAAGGGTCATGAAGTGCGGCATCACGATTTTCGGCTTGCAAAACGGGAAGTCATAGTACTCGTACCTGCCATGCAAAGGTTCCACATGGCGGTCCTGAACCCGTGCAAACTCAACCCCGGCAGAAGCACGTCTCGGTGGGATTTGAGTATGGCCAAGCTTTGTTCATGCCTGAAAATGCCAAGTTGCTGTCGCAGCTATCCCTAGCTGACAGCACGACAAGCCCTCGGCTAACTTGAATTTCCGCATCATCTTCGAAAGATGCATCCGCCACGGCCTTAGGAACGAGGCAGATCACACCAACCATTGAAATCATAGCACAATACGCAGAAAGATCAAGATCGATGAGAGACCACCCTACGTGGTGGACAATCTTGGCACGCCTTTGATCCAGTTCTTATGAGGTACCCACCAGCAACGTCACCAAAGCGAGGTAGCTCCTCCGGCTCCTCCGCATGTTGGGCCTGTCTCTTCTTTTCGCCGATGCCGACGTGCATGCTCACCGCCAAAACAAGTCTGGGCTCCAAGCGAAGAGCGGCAAGTCCCGCTTACGTTCCCATGCCCCCTGCTTTCCCTTGTCCACGTGGAGACAAAGGCGTGAAAGCCGCGTGCCACACGAAAAATGGGTCCGGAAGGAACCACTTTACGATTCCCACAACTTCAGCTGGCATGCAACATGTTTTTTTGCATCTTCGCAAACGATGAAGCTCCGCTGAATTAAGCAGAGCATTCAAGAACCCGAGATACATGTGCAGTGCCCGCAAATCTCACGGGTAGTCACTCGCTGCTTCGACGCTTGACGAACCTCGGCTGCAGTGGTTATACTGTGGTGACAAGGCCAGCTACTTTGGCCTTCTCGTTCAACAGGTTCTCCAATTTCGAACTATTTCAAACTGTCGATACATCCTTCGCATGGCTTCATTGGCAATTCCTTCTGCTGGCACGGTGTTATTCCAAAAAGTTAGGCTGAATTGTTTAAAAAAGGCGGGGCCGTTTTCTGGGCCGCTTGTGAGTGGCAGGCGAGGCGCGGAATAGAAACATGTTACTCGGTTGCAACTTCTTCGTTCTGGTTTTTCTCGATTTACGGTTTGATGCTTCTGCCTGTTCTTTCATTTTGTGCCTATGAAGTTGTGTATGTTTGGCTTTCTTTATGTCTTGTTTCGTTAGTTCTCCCGTTCTCTCCTTCTCTCGTTTCTCTTTCCTTTTCATCTCTCTATTATTTACTGTTGTGCAGGGGTCTGTCCATCTACGGCACATGTGGTTATAGGACATGTGGCCTATGGGCTGCTCCACGAGTCAGCCATCTGGCCTCTGCTAGGCTAGTGCGCGAAGGGCGTGACCATGAAGCAACAGCAAAACAGCGCGCGGAAAAAACCCGGAGATCAGCTAAGACAGGCCTGCAGTGGTCAGGCCCCTGCACTTGACTGCGGCTGCTGGTTGAAGGCTGCGCTTCCTTTTTCAATTTCTCTCCCTTTGTTTTGCTTTGCCTTGCTTGGGGCATGAGCCAAAGGCTGTCCCTGTGGCCCGCTCATCCGAGCAACCCCCCGATTCTCAGAGGACGGGCTCAGCTGTAGAGTATCCTCTTTCATTCGATGTTGTGTTCACTGGTTCGTTCTTTCGTTATTGTTATTTTTTTGAAGTGTGTCTAGATTTCGCCATTAGGTTATCCTGTTCGTTCGTTCGTTATTTCACGTAGATGTTCGTCCTTCCCTTGTTTGTCTTTGTGTTTATTTATTTGGTGCGTTCTTTCTCCGGTTATTGTGATTCGTCATGTCTTTCGTGAGTATATCCATGTTGTTCTTTTGCTCTGCCTGTCCTTCTTTCTGCCGTTCGTTGTTTCTTGGTTTGTTTGCATATTTAGTTATTTATGTATGTCGTTATTATTTGTTGCGTTCGTGAGTTATTTCTTTCGTTATTGCGCTATTATATTTAGTTATGTCGTTAACTATTTATTTCGTTCTGCAATTCTTTCGATATGTCTCTCTCGTTATGTATGTCCGTCGTTTTTGTTTGTGTCGTTATGCTCTTCTTATTTCGTTAGTTCGTTCGTTCTTTATTTATTTATTTCGTTCGTTCGTTAGTTATTTCTGTCCTTGTTGATGTCTCTCTTCATGTTCTGTATTTCTTTATGGCTGTCTTGCTTTACTTATGTGTTTCTCTCTTCCTTTAGCTCGTTGTTTCGTTCTTTCGTTATGTATTTCTTGATCTCTCTTTCTCCTTCTGTCTTCCCTGCCGCTTTGTGTCTGTTTATAGCTGTTAGTGCGTTCAATCTTATGATGCATTTTCAGCTTTTGCGATGCATCTTCTGTAGCTTTTGTCTGAGGCCTATCCCTTGCGGGGATGTAGCCGCAATGTTAGCAGCCTGCTTCGGGCTGGACCCACGTTTCTTGCCGCATCTCGCCTCTAGCCTTGCCTTCGCTCATGTGTAGCACCGTGTTCCAGTTCGAGGTCTTAGGGTTCGGATCCTTCGGAAAGTGCACTACGAGGATCCCTCCAAGAACAGCAGGTTCGAGCAGCACGGAGACACTGCGGAAGCACCGACGACCGTCACGAAGAGACACATAATCTGCATCTGAACTGTTAACCCCTGCAAGCTGCAGTACAAATCCAAAGTCCCAACTGCTCTGCAAGCCGCTCGAGTGCCTAGGAAGTGATCAGGGTGATCACCTTCGAGCTCGAGCTGCCTGCAGGGGACTCCATGAGCGAAAGGATGCCGCTTTTCACGATCACGAAGGGCAGCATCAGCAACCTGAGTACGACAGCCAGGGGGTTTCTTTGTGAAAGCTCAGCCCAGCTCTGGCCCTGGCGCAAATGAGCTGCGCACGTGAGAAGCAGAGGCACGAAGATGTGGCAGTTGAAGCGCCTCACCTCTGGAGCCAAACTTTCCGCATGGACGAAGCTGATAACGCCCGCCACGCTCGAGTTGGCCTGGACACAGCCATCAGATAGCAGAACTCGAGTCAACCTAGGCTCTGTGCTTTGCCAAGATGCATCGGTGCCAGTTTGGATGGTCTGCATGGCTGTTTCCTCGATCTGCTGAAGGCAAAGTGCACATGCTCAGGTGGCCTCCCTGCTCACACTGTTCTCGCGCTGCGTCTGGGTTGACTTCTTTCTTCGTCCCTGGGCACCCATTGACGCGCAGTTTCAACGATTGGACGTGAAAGGACCTGGCAGGTTCGTGGCCCTTGGGGGTTCGCTGCATCTTGCTCTCGACCGCCCAGGCCCCCCTCAAGGCTCCTGTGTCCACTGCACAACCCGGCCGTAAGAGAAGCTGTCTAATCTGTCACATCCCTCGCACACCACCTTGAGTAAGGGCACGACGGGAAAATCATTGACGCTGGCGAAAGAATTCCCACGTCGCGCTGCATTGGGTGCCGTCGGGGGAGGGGCATTTGAAGATCTGCCATAGTCCACATCAACACGTGCTCCTTGGCTGGACTAACTCTCCCCGAGCGACCGTATCCTGCCGTATCTGTCCGCCAGCTATTTCCCTGTGGACGCGCCCACACATCACCGAGCCATGCTTGAGGCAGGCCGCCATTGATAATGTAGGCCGTGCCTCGGTTGCTCCAAGTTGCTCCGAAGCTACCGGGGCCGGCGAAAACCAATGCCAAAAGCGGCAGGCCAAGCGGCGAACCGGGGCCCATTTTTTGCCCTTTGCGCTCGCACGAGATTCTGCCTGGCAAAGAAGCATGCCCTCCCACAGAAATGCCTTCCGACAGAAATAGCATGTCGTGCTGGATGTTCTGGCTTTCTGAGCTCGTACCGTGAAATTCTCTAAACTTTTCTTTGCAACCGGAATCGTCGGAAGTCGCTCCTCCCTGTCGACCAGTAGTGACGAAAAACGTAGCCACATCGTCACACTATGTAGTTATGTAATTACACTAAACAATTCCCACATGAATGGAGAAAACCCCGGCCTGAGCCACACACTGACTGTGTGAAACCTGCAAGACCTTCCAAACCCCAAACCCTACCCACTCTCAGCAAAGCAGAGACCGCATCATAGAAAACCGTGGCCTGCACCGTTTCGGCAGCCTGCGAGGCCCTCGCCTCGCGGTCACGAATGTAATGGCCCTGGGCACTCCATCGGAAGAAGCGTGCGGCCTCGTCCGCCGCCTCGCTGCCTGTGGTCGGAGCAGCTGGTGACTGCGTCTCTTCCTTCGATCCCTGAGCACTTGATTGTCAGCAGTGGGCAAGGCCCCTTCCATGCAACTCAAACTCAAACCACTCCCATGGCACAGTGACAACACATGTCCACATGAAGCCCAAAGTCTCTGGAGACATCCGTCGTCATCTCCACATCTGTCGGGGGCAAGCCGTGAGCCTCCGGTGCAGACTTGGTCACGTTTGCTTCCGGCTCTTGCCGACTGCTGACTTCGCCGATGCAGTTTCCCCGTGAGCTTTGAACCTCTTTGGGCTTGTAGGAGCTACTGATCCGCAGCCTGAGACAAAGAAACGGAAAGAGGTTGAGGGGCAAGGAGCACGGTTGCCTGTCCCGTTGGCAGCAGACTGAGGAGCGTGCAAAGAACGCTGCCAGATCTGATGTAGCAGTACAGGTAACCTCGATGCCGCGAGCCACTGCAACAACACAGAAACAATGTCGAGTCATAAGTCTTCCTGCAGAAACGCCGGCACACCACTATACATACTATGCTATACACTGTGTGTACATTTGCAAGCCCTTGTTACCTCAGACCATATCAAATTCATGCCATCTCCAAATGATGCCACGTGGCACCACATCATACCAGTTCTGATCAAACCTCATCGCCTGTTCTAATATGTCCCTATATAATTTCAAGTCGCACATCCCACAAGCACTGGTACATTACATAACGTGTACCCTGCATCATATGTCATAGATCAGATCATCATGTGTCATATACTATCCATCATGATGCATATGTTAGCATCATATCCGCCGACCCCCTTGGGCGGCGCCCGTGATATCCCGCGAGGTTTTCCGGCTCTTGGGCTGCCAATGCGTGCCCACCCCACTTCCTCGCCCCGATTACATCTATGTGTTTAGTCTTTAAAGGCTGCCAATGCGTGATACGCCCACCACCCTCACCACCCCCACCACCCTCACCCTTCACCGTCCCCAGCACCTTCACTGCCCTTTATGTGGTTAGAGTATTTAAAGGCCCACCCCACCTCCTCGCCCCGATTGCATCATGTGTTTAGAGTATTTAAAGGCTGTCAGTGCGTGCCCAGACCCCCCCCACCCCCACCACCCCCACCATCCCCACCACCCTCACCACCCCCACCACCCTCACCGCCCTCACCGTCCCCAGCACCTTCACTGCCCCCTATGTGGGGTCGGCGGCATTGGCGGCAGCC